AATTTATAGTGATAATTATTTTTTTAAATATGCTTATAAAAATTATTATAAGCATCTAAAAATGCTTTCATTTTATGCATTTAAATTATGCCATGGAATAAATAATAATTTACTCCAAAACAATTATTTTATCTCTTTCTGTGGTGTCTTTCCTTGTATCTGAGAGTTTGTTTTACTCATATTAAATTCACATGACTGTCAAAATTTTTTTTTTAAGATTTTATTTATTTATTTGAAAGACAGAGATCACAAGTAGGCAGAGAGACAGGCAGAGGGAGAGGAAGGGAAGCAGGCTCCCTGCTGAGCAGAGAGCCCAATGCAGGCCTCGATCGCAGGACCCTGAGATCATGAACTGTGCCAAAGGCAGAGGCTTAACCCACTGAGCCACCCAGGCACCCCAGACTGTCAAAATATTTAACTGTGAATGCCAGAAATATTTTTCAGATCAGGGCAAATAGTGGAATTTTTTTTTTACTATTTTTCTAAAAAAATAGTTACTGGAAAATATTTGCTAAAAATACTCATTGTGAAATGTGGTAGAATGATTTAATGTTGGAACCACAGCTTTAACTCAAATACTGTTGGCTTCAGTAAGTACATGAGTCACTAAGTGGAATAAAAAAGGTATAGCACTTATTATTACTGAATTATTAAGATTTTAGGAAGATACAAATTTAAACAAAGTAGCTTAGAGTATATTTGTATGCCTCATAATATTTGGCACATTGTAACAATAAGTGGAAACTTTTTTTTTTTTTAAACAGATTCAGTAATTCATGAATATCATTTCTTGATGGCAGGAAGTATCTATTCTATTTTTTTTTTTTTTTAAGATTTCATTTATTCATTTGACAGAGAGAGATACAACGAGAGAGGGAACACAAGCAGGGAGGGTGGGAGAGGGAGAAGCAGGCTTCCCGCTGAGCAGGGAGCCTCATGTGGGCCTGGAACCCAAGACCCTGACATCAGGCCCTGAGCTAAAGACAGACTTAACAACTGAGCCACCCAGGCACCCCAGAAACTTTTTTTTTTTTTTTTTTTTTGACAGAGAGAGAGATCATAGGTAGGCAGAGAGGCAGGCAGAGAGAGAGGAGGAAGCAGGTTGCCCACTGAGCAGAGAGCCCGATGTGGGGCTCGATCCCAGGACCCTGAGATCATGACCTGAGCCGAAGGCAGAGGCTTAACCCACTAAGCCCCCCAGGTGCCCCCAGAAACTTTTTTTTTAAGTCACATTACTGCATGACTGTCAACATTTCCCATGGTAAGATTTAATGAATGATGGGGATAAGTTACTTATATGTTAGTCTTTTGTAACACGCTCAAATATCATATATTTTAAATATTGAGTCATGCATCTACCTGTCATCTGGATCTCTGCCTTTATGTTCATGTGGTGTTCTCCCTGTGTGAGTGCATCTCCAAATTTCTCCTTTTTATAAGGATACCAGTCATACTGAATTAGGGGCCACCCTAATAATCTCATTTTAACTTTAACTCGATTACCACTATAAAGACTATATCCAAAAGGGTCATATTCTGAGATACTGGGGATTTGGACTTCAATGTATAAATTTGAGGGGACCACAATTCAACCAACAACACTAAGATTACTGCCACTAGTAAAGCTTTCTGGATTTCCCAAATACCCTTGAATTTCATAAATGTCTTTCACACCAAGTATCCTTCATGCCAAGTCTATAAAATATTTTCATTAGTAATACCTCTAATTAAAGATAAGTATCTTAATTCAGTAAGTAAACAAGTGAGATTTAGCATATCAATTCAAGGTGATAGTTATTAATCTAGTATAATTACTTTATGGGCACTAGTGGGGATAAATCCTCATACATCCTGTAGCATTGCTGAAAGAGCTGTGGGCTGGAAGTCAGGAAATAAGAGCCAGGTCCTAACTCTGACAGTCACTCACCAAGGGACAATTTACCACAGAGACTGCCACTGCCTCTCTCATGAAGTTTATCTGGTCTCTAAGCTCCAGAACATTCTCTGATTCTTATTCTATTTGTATCATTCTTTCTTATCCCCACACACCAATATGAGCAACAGAGAGGTAATGACATAAATAGACAAGCATATTTGCAGCATCCGCTCACAGATGGATTTTTAGAAGTGGAAGACTTTCACCTATTGCCCTCATTTAACAGACAAGGAAATGGAAGCCTCGGGAGGTTAAGTGACTAGTCCCATGACACATATCCATCATTCTTAGCTTGAATACCTTCAAAGGGGCAGTGATTCTTAAATTGAATCCACAGACCCAGGGGTCCCCATAGGTGAACTTCAAAGGTCTATATACCTCTTGAGAGTTTGTGTGCAAAAACTGGTATGAATATGCATGTTTGTTTTTCTTTTTTTTTTTTTCTTTTTTTTTTTTTTTTCTGTTGGAAGGAGTCCTTAGCCTTCACCAAATTCTCAAAAGGATCTATTTTGTTCAAATAAATCCTTAGCTCCTATGCCTTCAATGCCTGGCATGTAAGAGACACTTGGTAAACATTAGTTGACTTATGTATATTGAATTCTTAACCAAGGAAAATTAATAACCACTGAAATAGAATAAAACAGAATACAATCATTCTCTGGAAATGATCCTCGCGGTCTCCTGTTCTCATAATGCTCTGTCTTTCATCACCCTGCGGTTCCCAGTCCTAGATGAATTTTGCAATATGCGCTTGTCTACTAAACCAATTAAGAAAGATATTTAAATCACAATTTCATCTCCTTTAGGAAATTATCCATCTTTTTATTTAACTTCACCATTCTATTTAATTAACAAGGGTTTAATGGCAGTTAATGAATGATACATTAATTAATTTAGGAAATTACTTTGTTCTTATTTAAGTAAGTCAAATTTTTAAATGCCTGTAATTTTCATTGGTTCCATCAAGGAAGACATACTGCATTCAATTAAATCTGAGTTACCTTACTTTGCCATTAGTCCAAACACCATAGAAAATCCCCAGTGTATTCAGGACATGTGCTGGAACAACGATCAAAACAGGACTTTGAAAAAGGCAGGGTAAAGCCTTAGGCACAAGACATGTGGTATTACAAGCAGAGAGTACCAGCACCATAGATTAGGTGCTCAGTAAATATGTGACAAATAAATCAAAGAAAGAAGAAGTAGCTAATGCTAATGTACTAATGCAGCTAATGCTGCCAGGAGGACAGAAGACCCTCCTGAACAGGTGATAGGACATCCATCGGTGGATGATGGAGGGTGATGTAAAAGTTGAATCTCTATCAGAAAAAGTATCAGGTTTCATGGGACATTAACGAATGGCACCAAGTTAATGATGATCAATGTGGACATCAAATACAACTCTCTGTATATAGTTACTAAACATTTCTTTTTGGTACTTTATTACTCAGAACTTGTACATATGGAAGCAACCCCAAGCTTCTAGGAATGGGGCCTCAAGACAAAAGAAGTATAACACTCTGCAAGAGGCAGGCCAGGCTGTTTGTACCACCGATGTGTATGATAAGGAATTACATTTTTCTTAAAAACCTACAAATGTTATTTGCAATAATTTATACTTTTCAGAAGCATTTACAAGTGATGATTCACTTTGTCGATGAAGATTAAAAGCTCTCTCTTCTTTACAAAATTAGGTCCTACTCATGCTTCTTTCCCAATTCCAACAAGGAGTAGCTACTTAAGAAATGACTGGATTTCAAGCAGAGAGAACCAATTATCATATGGTTTCACTTATTTGTGGAGCATAAGGGATGACATGGAGGACACGGGGAGATGGAGAGGAGAAGGGAGTTGAGGGAAATTGGAGGGGGAGATGAACCATGAGAGACTGTGGACTCTGAAAAACAATCTGAGGGTTTTGAAAGGGAGGAGGGTGGGAGGTTGGGGGAACCAGGTGGTGGGTATAATGGAAGGCACGGATTGCATGGAGCACTGGGTGTGGTGCAAAAACAATGAAATCTGTTACACTGAAAAGAAATTAAATAATAAAAAAAGAAATGACTGGATTTATACTTATAAATTTATTTTTATTTATTTACATACTTTACTCTTTATTAAATATATTTATTTACACTTTATTAAACACACCTATTTAATAAAGAGTGTTATTAAATATAATCAAGAAAGATCCTACAAAGTTTTGCTGTTTATTTTACAGAGTTTGCTAGACTACCCTATATCACAAGGAGTGGATTTCTCATCTTAAAAACCTCCTGAAAGAGTAAATTATCATTTTAACTTCTAGGCACCATCTAAAAAATTAAAGAAATTAACACAGGAATCCTAGGTACTCCCTTGGTGAGTGCCAAGACAACAAAGATCTTCCTGTCTTCATACCCACTGGTACAAAGATTCTTGATATTTAGAGAAAAAAGAATTAAGACTTTCAGTGAGACATCAGATTTAAACCATTTATATTATCTGAAGCTGACATTTCTTTGTGTTGGGTGTTATTTTCCTAGCAGCTGAGAATGAAGTCTTGGCAGAAACTGTGAATGCTCCAATAAGTTATTTTGTTGTTGCAAATTCTATTTTAAACTTACTCACATTATGATCCGTTCCTTAGGTGAGAGACGAGGCACTTCTTGAAATGATGTTGTAGAAGGATATTTAATAAAAAGGGAAATGTCCGTTTTAATTTTTTTCTTTTTTATGGTATATTGTAAAATATTTTGTGTAATTAATAAAAACAAATATAATGTGGGCGATGTAAATTGCAGAATTGGTGGACTGCAATTCAGAAGCACATTCCAGTATTTGTGCAACATTATTACGCAGAAATATTCTTTTTTTTTTTTTTTAATATTTTATTTATTCGACAGAGAGAGATCACAAGTAGACGGAGAGGCAGGCAGAGAGAGAGAGAGAGGAGGAAGCAGGCTCCCTGCTAAGCAGAGAGCCCGACGCGGGACTCGATCCCAGGACCCTGAGATCATGACCTGAGCCGAAGGCAGCGGCTTAACCCACTGAGCCACCCAGGCGCCCCACGCAGAAATATTCTTACCTTTCAAACCTCTTCCAGCTACACCAAGAGTTGCTCTTGGTGGAAGAACAGTATGGAAATTTTTCAGGGTGGAAGAACCTGTCTTAATGACCACAGGAACATATGGATATTTCCTCATAGTTAATCCAAGCAATTGCCAACAACAACAAACCTAAGAAAAAGAATATGGATAGTTGAGTATGAAAGAAACCTGAAGTTCTTAAATGCATCATCTTCTATAATGATATATAAAGATTATTTAACTTATAACTTGAAAAAGGAGTTGATACTACTGAATCACTTAAGGTCACTGGGTAATCTGTGGTCAGGTTCAACTAGTCCCCTAAAGGGGGATGCTAACCCCATCTTTGGGGGGCCTCATTGCTGACCTTAGCTATTCACATCTCAAGCCAACACTTCTATAACTAACCTGTATTAATGTTAATTTCCCTGGTAATTTGCTTGTTTCCATTTATTCTACTCTAAATGTGTTATATTTGCTCGCTTCACCTGTTACAGTCCAACTTCCCAAGGAGTTTTCCGTCTCCTTAAAATCAGAAACCATGTCCTCCAGTCTTTTAGTCTTTTTTTTTTTAAACTCTCTTTATTGCATCTCCCCCATCCCCAAGACAAATTCGAAAGTTATTTAGAGGATTTAATCATTGATAGTAGCCCCCTGCCAGAGTTTTAACTGAAAAAATTCATGCTTCTGTTGTGTATTTACACACATGATGAGTACAAGGAAATGAGAATTTAAGTTGTCAGAGATGATGGTTTCCCATCCCTGAAAGAAAAGAGGTGGTGGAATTCAGAGACCACTAAGGAAATTTATGTATTCATATAAAAATTATGACTATAGTGTGCTAGGATAGAGATAAAATGACCAAGAGAGAGAGAAATATACGGAGTTTTGTATATTTTCTACCCACGAGTTAATTTTTGAGCATCTTCTGTGTATCAACATTGTAGATTTGGCGGTGGTGGGAAAGTAGGGGGAACCCATAGTGCCTAGTCTCAAAAAGCAACAATAAAATCTATTTGTGGGGGAGATATTGAGGAAACACATCATTTAAAACATGAGAGGAGACAGCTACAGGATATTATTTAAGTAAATGCTGCAGTGGAATAGGCAGAACAACTAGAAGTAAGATTATTTAAGCAGGGCACCTGGGTGGCTCAGTGGGTTAAAGCCTCTGCCTTCGGCTCAGGTCATGATCCCAGGGTCCTGGGATTGAGCCCCACATCAGGCTCTCTGCTCAGCAGGGAGCCTGCTTCCTTCTCTCTGCCTGCCTCTCTGCCTAATTAAAAGATTATTGAAGTAAATGAAGTTTGACTTCAGTGTTCTGATACATACTTCCTTTCTGTGAGTGTCTGTGAGGCTCCCTGGCACCTTCCTAAGTTCTCCCTCTGACATTCACCATCCACAGCCTCAGAGTCAACCCAAGGCCAAATAAATACAGTAATTTGATAAACTAATTTCTACTAAAGTGTCATGGGAAATCATTTAGGATATTCTCCTAAAAAAAATAAAATAAGAATTTTAACTTCAGCCCTGTAGAGACACAGAATAACAACGATGCCTTGCATTCTCATTGTGCTATTATTCAAACATTAGTGCAAAGTAGTGTGTCAGGCAATAAGGGGCTATGAAGATGAGTAAGATGTTAACCCCATCTTTGAGGGGCCTCATTGCTGACCTTAGCTATTCACATCTCAAGCCAACACTTCTATAACTAACTTGTATTAATATTAATTTCCCTGGTAATTTGCTTGCTTCTATTTATTCTACTCTAAATGTGTTGTATTTGCTCATTTCACCTATTACAGTCCAACTTCCCAAGGAGCTTTCCATCTCCTTAAAATCAGAAACCATGTCTTCCAGTCTTTCAGTCCTTTTTTAAACTCTCTTTATTGCATCTCTCCCATCCCGAAGACAGTACGTTTTAAGCTACAGCTTTCTATTAACAGATCACGAAAGCAATTTATAAGTCTCCTATCAACATCTTTAATTTTTTTTAAAGATTTTTTACTTTTAAGTAATCTCTATACCCAACATGGGGCTTGAACTCATAACCCCAAGATCAAGAACTGTTTGCTCCACTGACCAAGCCAGCCAAGCACCCGTCCTATCAACATCTTTAAATGAAATAGAATAGAACCTAAGAGAACTGAAAATTTCAGAGTGCCTCACCCAAGGAGAAGGTAAGGATCTTTGTAGAACTCTGAACCAGTGAGGGCTGTGTGTCAGTGTGTCTATAGGCTAAGTTATAACATGTAGTTCTTACTAAAGTGTGTTCAGAAAACTTGGGAGGGACGCCTGGGTGGCTCAGTTGATTAAGCAGCTGCCTTCGGCTCAGGTCATGATCCCAGCGTCCTGGGATCGAGTCCCACATCGGGCTCCTTGCTCATCAGGGAGCCTGCTTCTCCCTCTGCCTCTGCCTGCCATTCTGTCTGCCTGTGCTTGCTCTCTCTCCCTCTCTCTGACAAATAATTAAATAAAATCTTAAAAAAAAAAAAAAAGAAAACTTGGGAAACACGGTCAGATATTAAACAAATATTTGCCTGAAGTCTTTTAGAAATATATTTGGATCCCCCTAGCAGTTGCTCCCAGGTTCCTGGCTTATTACCCTTTGGCTTTTGCTGGTGGTTTCCCGTATTGGTTCTAAGTATCATCTGATGGCCTCCCAGTTGTGACTCTGCCTGCTCTTTAGATCATAGGTGGACACCTGCACTCTCATCCATATCAACCGAGCACATCTGGATGTCTCTTGACGCCCTTTCCCCTGCACTATGCCAGATGCAACCTTGCCCCAAGAAAAAGCCCAAAAATGATGTTGGCAAAGCTCCTAGTGTACATAAATGCACACACTTGACTCTTCTGGGGGGCAGGGTCTAATATCTTCTTTCTGTGTTAAAGTAACTGACTTTACTATATACAGGGGAAAAGACTCAGGAAATTAAGTTTTTAGAACTGCCTAGGAGTAAAACTCTAATTCATGGAGGAGAACTTAAACTTATAACCTTCAATTAGCAACTTGGTCAAATTTTGAAAATAGAGCAGCAAAAAAATCAGCATTTTTGAGGAAATAAGTCTTGTGAGAGAAAAATTCTAATTACTAGTTATTATCTGAAGTTATAGTTATTATAATAAAAATATTTTAAAAAGCCAATTAGAATCAAAATTATACTGCGACTATACTTTTTCTTATTCTTGCTTCATACATAAAGATATAAATTGAAAATTAAATTAAGTATTCTTACATTTTTTTAAAAATCCCTAATGCGAATGCTTTGCTTTCAAAATAGCCTAGAAGGGACTTTCCTCTATAGTTATGTTGGTCAAAATACAGAAACTAGGTACTGATTGGGGGGAAATCTGTAGCTTTTCACATTGCTATGGTAATAATCTACATTTTCATATATTTGTATGGTCATAATATTCCACCCATAGTTTGCCCTGGAGCCATAAATGACTATGTTGGTGCCATCAGTTGCTCTTATGACATTTGGAAAATGATCATTATCTTATTTGCTGCCATTTAGCTAATACAGAGAAAACAACTTATAAATGTTATTTCTTTTGCTAGAGGCATCTGTAACTTGATGAAAAACTGCCAAGGATTCCTTTTCCTAGAAAATGTGTATTAAGTACACACAAGCTGGAATGGAGATTCCATGGAAAAACTGAGGGATACCCTGTCTCCCCAGCATAACTAACTGAACGGTCTTACTGCCTTGACATGGAAACCACTGAACCTTAAAGAAAGCTCGGTGAAGAGCCACCAAGGTATCTATGAAGTCAGAAAGGAAGTCCTTGAATAAAAAAAAACAAAACACTAGCACAATTGAGAATACACTGTTGCTCATTTTCTAGCATCAACACTAGTAAGAGTGGTAAATCAGGAAGAAGATAGGTAGGTAGGGAACTCAATGACTAATACGAAACCTCTAGTGATGGTCCGAAGCTGATCCCTGGGTGCTTCTGCGGGTTGAACTGGTCCATAAGTCACAGCCCTGCCCTGATTCAGTTCTGCATTCCAGGAGAGCAGATACCAGCATGTGGCACATGGCAAGTATCCAACCAAATGTAACAGTTGACTTCATCTTATACTCTTATCTTTGCTTTCCTTTTATTACCATTTTCTCATGTCTTTTTTTTAAAGGATTTTATCTATTTATTTGACAGACAGAGATCACAAGTAGGCAGAGAGGCAGGCAGAGAGAGAGAGAGGAGGAAGCAGGCTCCCTGCTGTGCAGAGAGCTGGATGCAGGGCTCAATCCCAGGACCCTGAGATCATGACCTGAGCCAAAGGCAGAGGCTTAACACACTGAGCCACCTAGGACAGGAAGGGTTACAAATAAATACTATATAAAGAGAAGTTAAATGCTGTTAAAGATAAAAGGAAGAATGTAAATAGTGAGTGCCATAGAGGACTTCTTAACCAATGTGCTATGGGGTCTCAAAGGATGCAGAAGTCGCACACAGAGCAGCTAGGTAAGGTTTCATGGAAGCAGTGATTTTGACATGGTTATAAGCAATATAAAAGAGTGTACCTGGCAGAGCATATTCTGAAAGATGAAGAGAGCCAAATCTTCTAGTTCATTCAATTAATTTTACTCAATTATTTACTGATTCTAAAAGAGAAGCTTAGGATGCAGAATATGATGATATAACCTGTAGTATCAGCATAAACAACAGGGTACCAGAAAGTCTATCTTTTCTTTTGGCCATGGAAAGAATACTGAAAGACTCCTGTTGAGAGAAGAAAACAAATGTATCAGAATTTAGAAAGCTACTCCAGGCTATTATTGGAATTTTTAAGCAGCTGTAATTACTATTATTCATCTTACGGTTGTCTTAGTCTATTCAGGCTGCTATGACACAATATCATAGACTGGGTGGCTTATAAACAACACACATTATTTCTCACAGTTCTGGACTCTACTAAGTCCAAGATCAAGATGCCAGTAGATTGGGTGTGTGGTAAGGACACACTACCTTGTTCACATAGGCCATGTTTTTTGCTGTGTGGAACGGGGGAACTCTGATCTCTTGAGCATACCAATTCTATCCATGAGACTCTACACTCATGACCTAATACCTCCCAAAGGCCTCTACACACCATCATTAGGGATTAGGTTTCAACGTATGAATTTGGAAGGAAGGAAGAGACACAAACATTCAGTCTATAAAAAGGGTCAAGGTCAAATTGTATTACTTC